TGCCACCCCACGTCCCTTCCCCATGTGCCTCTCCAGTGCCTTTTGCCTGCTGGCCCTGCCTGCGTTTGCAGCTGTGATCCCCTGAAAAATGGCTCTATTCATTACCCATTTTAATTTCAGTCTGGATCCCCAGAGCTCTGCAGACACATTTTGTTATCCTGGCTGTCAAGAAGCCTAAAGAGCTGCTGACGCCTCCTGGAAAACTTTGACAAACCCTCTGTTCGGGCACCGTGCTGCCTCCCCAGCCTGTCTGCCCAGGCTTTCCGCTCCCTAGTTCTTTATTAGCAACGATGTCTGCGAGGACAGGAGGAGAGAAAAAGCCCCACCGCTGACATCTGTGCTGAGCCGATCTCCTCTCCAGGCCCCTTCCCTCTCAGAGGATGCCCTGGGAGCTGAGCTGCAGGGGCTGGGTGTGAATGTCCCCAAAGATCAGATTTGCTCTCCGGGAAGCCAGATGTCACAGCAGAAAGGGGCACTGGCTTTATCCCATCCCCACACATCACTGCTCAGCCCAGAGGGTTGAAACCTGTGGTCGCAGACTCTTGGGGAACCATTTTAGGAGGTCCCCAGGAGGTGAACAGGGGAGCCGATCTGTGCCTGGAGACCTGTGTGCACCGTGCAGGAACCTGTGTTCCCAGCGGGAAATTTTTAGCAGTCAGAAGCTGAAAATGGTTGAAAAATCACAAATTTAGCCGCTTATTTATAGCCCCTCACCACTCAGTTGGACTGGATTAACCCAGTGAGCTGCGCGGAACAGCTTTCCCATCTATTCTGGCTCTCTTTGGCGATCTAATCCTCTCCCAATTAGTTTCTTTTTACATAGTAGTTGTCAGGCTGCTTTTAGAGAACAAAATGCCCCTCGGTCTCTTCGCTAACATAGGAGAGTGCACCCGACACACCGAGAACAGATTGTCTCTAAATGTAATTTTGGTCAAAGTTCTGCGGAAGAAGTGCAGAGTCAGCCGCATGCTTTTAGCATAATGAGGACGAGCCAGCCGAACTCGTAACCTCTGTGGTTTTGGTCCAGCTGAGAACGGAGTCATCTTCTGCTTCAAACCCTTCCTCCCAGCGCCCTGCTGCGCTCTGAAATGCCGAGTTGCCTTTGAGGTGCCACTCATGCCGGCTGTCCTCGGGGCACGAGGGAGCACGGCCGAGCCTGCCGCTCCCCGGAGGTTCGTCAGCTGCAGGGGGATGAGGAGGCACGAGGGTTGAGGGGGAGCAGAGCAATTAAAAAGCCATCAGAGGCAGGAGAAAAAGATGAGGCTTGCAGAGCTAACCGGGGGCCAGCTGCAGGGGTGAGGTGCCCAGACCCTGGGGAAAGGCACGAGTGAGGAGTGTCCCCGCGCTCTGGGCACGGTGCTGGAGGAGCCATGGGGGGCTGTGAGCTCTGCGGGTTGCTGCAAGCCTGTGGCTCCTCCCCACCTCCTCTGAACCCCAAAAACCTTCCTGCTGTGCACCCAGACTCCTGGCACGGGGGCTCTTGGTTTTTCTTGCCTGTTTTTATTCCTCTTTGTGATCCCCTGCTGCTGACCTCCAGCAGTATGTTCTGCATAACCAGTGCCATTTTCTCCTGCAACGATAACCTGTGCTCACTACTGGAAACCGTGGATGACAAACAGCTGCCCCGTTGGCTAAAATCTTCAATAAAACCCTAGGTACAACCACAGCCCTGTGGCCAGTCGTCATTCTGCCCAGGCCTCCCGGACAGCCCGCCTGTCCCCAGGTGACACTGTCACCCCTGGACCTCTGGAAGCTGGAGGTGTGCCAGGGTGCCAGGCCTCCTTCCTGAGCTCCTCCACCTCGGTTTCATCCCTCACCGCTCTGTCAGCCCCTCACCCTCTCCCTCAGCAAGAACAAATCGCTCGGGTTCCCTCCCCACCGGTGCTGAGCTGGGGAAGGGGAGTTGCTGGGAGCCTTGCGGGGCTGTGTGACACTGCCCTGCACGTGGAGCGAGCACAGGGCTAATCCCCCCTCTTCCCCACGCCTGCAGCACGAGATAGTGGCCGAGAGAGCAAGGTGCCCGCACAACGCTCCCGGGAGCGAGCGGATTTACAGGCGGCGGTGGGAGCCTGCCTGAATCTCTCTCCCTTCTTCTTTATGCGTTTAAGAGGTTTCGCTGTCTCGCTAACTCCCCTGAGAGGCCCAAGTAGCAGCCTCTTCGGATGTGAATACCTGACAAGTTTTTAATGTGAAATGAATTCACTAAATTTAGTCTCTTGGAGGGGAAGGAAAAAAAAAAAAAAAAAAAAAAAGAGAACCGCTTCTTTCAATCTGGGGGAAGTGATCCAAACCCCAGCCGCTTCCCTGCCGTCAGAGTGAGCTGATTTGTTCTTTTCTCCTCTGTCTCAAAAGCTTTTAAGTCTGGGCCCCATGTGTGCCTGTGCACAAATAAGAGGTGGGAGAATGGCAGGCACCGACGCCGGTGTCTCAGGGGGAATCTGACAGCTCCCAGCTCCTGGCCCCCACATGACAGATGTTGACGAGGGCAGGGTGGGGAGATAGACAAAAGGAAAACCTGTGACGAGGGCTCTCTTCGAGTCGGAAGGGACCTCTGGCCCGAGTCCTAGGGATGCCGTCTTTGCTTTCAGGTGGACTTTGCACAAGACACAACTGGTGCTGAGGGCTGGAAGTAGGGAGCACCTCGCCTGGTGTACTTGTCTGAATCACCCGTTCTCCACCCCATCCTCTCTTCCTACCCTCGCTGGAGCCTCCAAGGTCTACTTTTCTTCTCTGTTCTGGCTCCTGAGGTTCACCAGGAACCTTCTGCTCTCCTTCGTTGTCCTCTCCCAAGGGCCAGAGCGGCCTCTGGGCTCTGCTGGTTGAAGGAGGCCTCCTGGTCTCCATGGCTTCATGAAGGTTACTCCAGCCCAGGTACGGAGCTGTGTACGTGCTTGTAACCATTAGCACAGGTGGAGGTAAGCACATGGGCTCAGTTTTGGAGGCTGAGGTCTCCCTGAGCACGTCTACACGTCCACACAAGGTGAGTATATGCCTTACTGCAGCAGAGCTGACGGCTGGCTACTCCCAAAATTCAGCGGTGTGCACGAGGCTGAAGGGCAAAGCGTGTCTTGGTGGTGCAGTTCGGTGGAGATGAAGATTTGGCTGGCTGCGGCCTGGGCTGTGTCTGGTGCCCTCATGGCGCTAGTGCCTGGATGCCCACCTGTCCTGCGGTCGGGGTTTGGAGGCTGCTGCCTCGGTGAGCTGTGGGTTTTGTGGCTGGAGGGCTACTAAAATTGAAGCCCCAAGTTGGGGGACATCATTCGCCCCCATGCTGCAGCGAGCCACCGCTCCATCTCCTGGCAGGAGAGCTCCACGCCATTTATATCCCGCGTCTCACCGGTGAAAGGAGTGGAGGTGCAGGCCTGATTATGAGGACTTTATTTAGTTCTGATTGCCTCTAAAAAGGTCGCTTCCCAGCTGAGAGATGCAGGAGCAGAGGGGGATGGTCACCGGTTTCTGCACCCACGCAGGGACACCGGGGCGGTGCTGTGCTGGGGACGGGGCACGTGGGCACGGGGCAGCCATGCCCCGGCTTGGCGTGAAGGCGAAATGAAGAAAGGGGGATAATGAAGATGATAAAAATGGCTGGCGCCGAACGTGTTTTAAAAAGACAAATAATTAACTCAGACCACCCATTCATCTTTTTTATGGCTTTTACTATATTTCCCCTTCGTGATTTTAGCCGTAAGCGGCGCGGATGCGGTGCCAGCGGGAAGATGCTGAGCTGGCAGCCCTGCAGAACAAAGTCCTGCCCTTATCGGCGGGGTGGCCGCCGGGCTGGCGGTGCTGCCCTGCGCTGAGCTGAGCTGAGGCGGCTCCCGGCCGCCCCCGGCCCCTGCCGGGCTGGGCTGGGCTGGGGAGGCTGCGCTGGGCCCTGCCGCATGGAGAGGCCGTGAGGGAGCCGTGTGTAGGGCTGCGTGTAGGGCTGTGAGGGAGACGTGTAGGGCTATGTGTAGGGCCATGAGGGAACTGTGTGTAGGGCTCTGAGGGATTTGTGTAGGGCCATGAGGGAGCCGTGTGTCCCTATACACATGAGGGAGCCGTGTGTAGGGCCGTGAGGAAGCCATGTGTAGGGCTATGTGTAGGGCCATGAAGGAACTGTGTGTAGGGCCATGAGGGAGCCATGTCTAGGGCGGTGAGGGGTCTGTGTGTAGAGCCATGAGGGAGCTGTGTTTAGGTCTCTGATGGAGCCACGTGTAGGTCTGTGAAGGCGCCATGAGGGAACTGTGTATAGGGCTGTGAGGGAGCCATGTCTAGGTCCATGAGGGAGCCGTGTGTAGGGCTGTGGTGGAGCCATGTGTAGGGCCATGAGGGAGCCATGCCTAGGGCCACAGCTCCACCCTGGCTGTCCTCACGCAGGTGACCACGCACAGGGGCCGAGACAGCAGCATGGCACAACACGGCACCACCGCCTGCAGTCCCTATGGATCAGGAGGGCACAGCGGCACCACCCCGACCTCCACCACCCCATAGAGGGGTGATATCCCCCAAACCCTCCTCCTCCTCTCCCCCACACTTTCCACAAGCGTTCTGCCCCTGATATCTCACACAGATGGCTCTGGGGCACTCCATACACCAGGGACCACCCATTCCCCACCACCCCACATTGAGGCGCAGCAACCCCAAACCACGGGGAGGCGCCCCCTACCCCCCTTGAAAACCCCTTGAGCACCACCCTCGCCCACCCCCTTTCCCCCCAGCCCCCCGTCCCCTCCCCTCCATCGCCCTTTTAAGACTCAGCAGCGGGGCGGGGCCGCGCCCGTCCCCGCGGAGCTCCGCGGGCGCCCCCTGGAGGCAGCGGCGGCGCCACCACCGCCCCTTTCCCCGGCCGCGGCCCCGGTCCCGGCGGTGGCAGCGGCGGCAGCGGCAGCGGCGGGGGCGCGGCCGTGCGCGTGCGCGCGCGCGGTGGCGGCGGGGGCGCGCGCGCGCGGCGTTCCGTCGGGGCCCCGCGCCGCCGGCCCATTCATGCGGGGCAGCGGCGGCGGCGGAGGGAGGCAGGAGGGAGGGCGGCGGGCAGCGGGAGCAGGAGGAGGAGGAGGAGGAGGAGGAGGAGAAGGAGGAGGAGGAGGAGGAGGAGGAGGAGGAGGAGGAGGAGGAGGGCCCCGGCTGGAATGCGGTTATGGCTGGCGGCGGGGCTGAAGCCAGCGGGGACCCGAGGCGTGAGTAACGCGGCTGGCAACTTTCCTCTTCGTTTTTTTATTTTTTAATTTGATTTATTATTATTTTGGGGTGAAATCAGGCTTTCCACAACCCCCCCAATTTTTTTTTATTTTAAAGCGAAATGGGGAGGGGGTGCGGCTCCCCCCCCCCCCCCCAGCCCCGCATTGCGCCCCGCGGGGCCGGCAGGGGTCGGAGCCCCCCCCCCCTCCCCCTTAAAGCCGGGTTTTGGGGGGCTGGGTTCGGGTTTTTGGGGTCCCCAAAGCCTGGGGGGTGCCGGGGGGGCCGGGTGGTTCCCCTCCACACCCCGGGCAGGGGGCAGAGCCCCCCCCGGGGGCTGCCACCGCCGTCCCTGCTCCCCTCCGTGGCGGTGCTGCCCCCGGTGTGTCCCCCCCGGTGCTGCGCTGCGAGAAAATCCCCTAAAAAAAAACACCCAAATCCCAGCCTGTGAGGGCTGAAAGCTGCCCCTATGGAAGCGTTAAGGGGAGGGGGGGGGGGGGGGCTGGGGTGTAAGCAGGGCTTTAACATGAAGGTCACCGGGTAAGGAGGAGAGGGATGGCGAGGGGAAGGGAGGGGAGGGCAGGCAGGGACCTCGCTTCTGCGCTCCCCCCCCCCCCTTTCCCCAGCCCGGCCGGGTTTCGGGGAGGACGGAGACAAAAGCGGGACCTGGCGAGGCTGGGATGAATATTCATGGTGCTCCGTGCGGGCTGCGGGACGCGGAGGGGAGAAAAGTTGGCCGGCGGAGCTGCATTGTCGGGCTGCCTTCCCCCGCCTCGCCGCCAGATCCCTCTCCGCCGAGCGAGGGCTGTGGCGGAGCCAATTCCCAGCCTTTCGCCGGGATTTTTTTATTATTATTTTTTTTGATTTCATTTCGTTTTCCCCCCCCCCTCCTCTTTCTTTTGTGCGAGGCCGAAAATAAAAAAAAAAAAAAAGGAGGAAAGGAGGAGACGAAGCTATTGACTACATCAAAGGTTATCCATTTGAAAACACCATTTTCCTCCGAGCAGCGGCTAATTGCTTCCTGAACAATCTCAGGGTCTTTTGTATCCGCTCAGTGGGCAAAGCCCAAAGCCGGCGGCTCCATGGCTCTGGCTCAACGCACCGGCGGCCGAAATGCGGTAGAAACGTGGAGGAGCGGCGGGGCAGGAGCCTCTCGGATGATGTACAGATAATTTCCGAAGTGGCTGCGAGGAGGGGAGGCGGCGGCTGCTGCTGCTGCTGCTGCTCGCGGGGCGCGGGTGCGTGCCGGAGGTGGCCGTGGCTGTGCGGGTGCCGAGGAATTTCGGGCTCCGGCTCCGTGCTCGGGGGGATGCAGGGACACCGGGGGCATCCCGCTCTGAGGGGCTCGCTTCCCCGCTGGGGCTGCGGGCGGATGCTCGGTGCACGTTCGGTGGCTGGGCTTTGTGGTGCAGCTCGGAAAATCAAAGTTTTGAGGGCGTTGGGTTTGGGAGCGCGGCGGTGCTGGTACCGGAGCTCTTGTGCAGCGAGCATGGATAGCCTGGAGGGCCTCAACTTTCCCCTCTTGGCTTTGCTTTTTTTTTTTTATTATTTTTTTTTTTTTACGGATGTGTAGGGTTTGGAGCGGAGCACAGCGATCAGCCTCGGTGCGCGCTGGGGCTGTGCATGCAGCTAGGGCAGGCAGCCCTCGCCTCCGCCCGCAGACCCAAAACGCTTCTCCTGCTGAAGGCAGCGGGCCCTGCGGCACGAACCCAAACTCCTCCGAACTCCGGCGGAGCTGGGGCTGGCTGGCGAGAGGCTGAAATGGCAGAGGGCAGTAAGAGCCGTGCCGTGCCGTGCCGTGAGCCGAGGCTGCCTCCCCTCCTCCCCGCCGCAGCGCCGGCAGAGCTCGGGGCCGGCCCCAGCCCCGCTCCCGGTGCGTCAGTGTGGTGCCAGGCAGCTGGGCTCCGTGGCCGTGCTGCGCCTTCCCCACCCCGTGCATGAAGGGGAAGGATCCGGCCATCGGATCGGGCTTAACGGGGGAAAGTTGTGCCTGTTTATTCTCTGGGCTCGGTGCGGGTCAGGGCCTTTGTTGCTGCTCGGCTGGCTGGAAGCGTTATCCGCCGGCGAGAGCTTCGCTCGGCCCCGAGCTGGGGATTCCTGGGCGGAGGAGCCCGGTGCTGCAGCGCTCGTGCCGCCGGGCTGCCTGCGAGCTGGGGAGCTGTGCCTGCAGGATCCGGCTGCCGCTGGGTCCCACCGGGCTTTGTCTGCATGAAGGCACCCCTAGTGACAGCTTCGGCACCCTGGGGGACAGCTTCGGCACCCCTGGCGTGTCGGGGGAAGGAGGGAAGGGGGCAGAGGTGCTGCAATCCCTCTGTGCTGTGGGAAGGGGGCACGGGTCAGCCCAGTGCTGGGTCCTTCCCTTGCTGCCCGCAGGTTCCAGGTTTGTGTGGGTTTGGGACTGGGGCTGGTGGGGTTGTATTTGTGGAAACCTCGAGCTGCTGCCCTGTGGTTTGCTAATGTCTCCAAATTACGTCTCCAAATCGCGTCGTTAGGCACCGGCGGTGCCGTGCAGAAGGGATCCAGGTGCTCCTGGCTGGGTTTTGGCTGGTGAGCGGCCCCGTGGCTGGGCACGGCAGGGGATGGGTGAGCGTGGCTCCTCGTGGCCCCGGTCCCTTCCCTCCTGTGGCCGTGGGCCCTTCTCCCGGCGGGGCGCTGAGCGCCGTGACGCCGCGTGAAGCCGGGAGGAGCGAGCGTTTGCGTCAGTGCCGGGGCGGCCGGTTTGACTTGGGGCTGGAGACAACCCCCTCCTTGGCTGGCTGCAGCCCCCGACACGCTCAGGGCCGTGCTGCTGGAGCCTCCCGCTGCAGCCGTGGGTTTGTGCAGGGCACACGTGGGCTCCAGCACCGTCGGTGGCACGCGGCTCTGGCCGTGGCCCAGCTCAGCCCCAGGGAAGGGCGCAGCAGGGAAGCACAGGCAGGTACCCCAGCGCCTTCCTGGGCTGTGCTCGCAAGCCAGCTTTGAGCAAACGTCTCAAGGGAGAAGCTCAGGCTTGGTTTTTGTGCCAGCCACAGGCAGATGTGGCTCGTTTTCCCCGTTTTTTGGTGTGTTGGCAGCCCAAACGTGCGCCTTCGACCTGCCGGAGCGCAGCCGGGAGCCGGGCGGTGCCTCCCTCTGTGCCTTGCCCGAGCATCCCGCGGCTGCCTCCAGCCTTTGTTCCAGGTGGAAGCCACCATTTCAAACCCTGCATTAGAAACATCTCGGAGTTTATTTTTCCCTTTAGCCAGGGCTTGGCAAGCCTCCTCCTTGTGGCCTGTGTGTCAAGATGTTCAAGTGTGTGAACTTCACATCCAGGCTGTGTGGCTGGTGCAGGAACACAAACAATTTTGCTCCTTTCTGCCCTCAGGTCTCCTTGCGTGGCACGAGGGGGATGTTTTGGGTGACCCCTCTGTCCGTGCGGGCATGAGGCCAGGGCTTTGCCGTGCAGCTGAGCTCCCCCCTGCCCCACGTGTTGGTCTCCGTGCCAAGAAGTTTTGTTACCTCTGGGAGAAAGTGCCCGGGTGAGCACGCTGCTCGCCCCGGGGCTCTGGGTGCCCGCGCCTGCCTCCCTTCTCCTCCCGCAGCCCGCCGGCCAACTTGGCACCGAGACCCAGAGCGCTCGTAATCCAATTTGGGCAGTTTAACCGCACTTTGCTGTCCGTGCTGCTGCCCGGGAGCTTTAATCTGGCTGTTGACCCAGGTTCTGGAGGTTGAGTAACCCACAACCAGGTGGATTTTTGGAAGCTGAGGCCGGGTCCGAGCCCTGCCGGTGGCATCGGGGCCGTTTCCCCGTGGAGGTGCGAGCGGTGGAGGGCAGCGGGTACGGGTGCTGCGATCCCTGCTTTCCCTGCAGGGGATCCCTCCCACCCCTTCCCATTTTCCATCCACTCCCCCTCTTTTCTCCCGTGAAGATAAACCCTTCTGCCGGGGCTGCTCTGCAATCCACTGGTATTTTCAGAAATGCTAAGCCAAGGAAAATGAAGTCTCTCTCTTCCTTTGGGTTGCCTACTGTTTAATGTACAAAATACAGGGGTGGTAATTGCATTAAAACGTATATAATTATACTGGAGGGGGGGAAAAAAAAATCTCGTTAATTGCTCGGGTGTTTTGAGCTGATAAATGTGGAGTGATTCATGCTTGCTTCGGAGTTTGCCGGAGCAGGGCTGCGGTCCGGCGTGTGAGGGGTTAGGAGGAGCCTTGTTTTCATGCCATTAGCAGGAAGTCAGCTCGGATTCCTCGCCGCCTCAACCGGCTCCAGGCTTCAGGCTTTCTTGGATCCCTCGCGTTTTTTGGTGTCCGGGGCCACTGATCCTCGGCCGTGCGGGGCCTCTGGCCCTGCTCCAGGCGGGCCTCGCGGCGGCGGTGTGAGGGCAGCAGCTCTCCGAGCCCCTCCGCTTTCCGTGCTAAAATATTCGAGCCCTTGCAGAACGAAATCCCCTGCGAGGGGAGAGGCAGACACCAGCTGGGCTGGAGGGGGGAGATCTCCTGCACGCCGCAGCCCCGTGCCCGGGTGCTCACTGCCTTCTGCTCCCTGGGCACGGGCACCGGGGGTGCTGCTGGTGGCACCGGGTCCCGTTTTGGGGCTGGCAGGAGGGATCACCTCCCGCTGGCGGTGGCACGGGGCGATGTGAAAGCCACATTTCCTTCAGCGAACGCCGACTCTGTCGGAGCCGCAGATAACATCGGAGGTAATTGCAGTGGCAATAAGTTGTTTGCTTTGTGTGCGCGGCCGCGCTGTGTATACAGGCAGTTGTTTCGCTCTTCCTGTGCAGACCGTGAGCTTCGACAAGGGAAGAGGAAAACCCAAAAATATTTTAGGAGTTTAAAAATAAGCTCGCAGCTCGGCTGGTGCGCAGGATGTTTCGCAGGGCCCTGTGTTCCCGGTTGGTCCCAATCCAGCTCTGCGGCCCTCGGGAGGTGTTGCTGGGTGGAAGGAGGGGTTGGAGGGTCCTGGGGGGCTCCGTCCTGCTCCCGGACCAGCCGCGTCCTGCAGGGAGCCAGGGGAGCAGAGCTGCCCTGTGCTCGC